AAAATTGACTGTCACCACCAGGACTCGAACCAGGGACCCTCGCTTGTAGCCAGCGATGCTCTAACCACTGAGCTATGGTGTAGTCGTCATCCCAGCAGAGGCCGTTCAACATTTTCTTCAGACTTCCTAACTCACACTTCCTGTGAATCCACACAGGCGGGTGGGACGCAGCCCTCACTGTAACCCACACACTTCACGTACAAACTAGCACGCGGGGAGCCCCAAGTCGTAAAATACTGACTGGTTTGAGGGAAAGAGACAAACGGGAAAAGTCTGAAGAAAAAATTGACTGTCACCACCAGGACACGAACCAGGGACCCTCGCTTGTAGCCAGCGATGCTCTAACCACTGAGCTATGGTGTAGTCGTCATCCCAGCAGAGGCCGTTCAACATTTTCTTCAGACTTCCTAACTCACACTTCCTGTGAATCCACACAGGCGGGTGGGACGCAGCCCTCACTGTAACCCACACACTTCACGTACAAACTAGCACGCGGGGAGCCCCAAGTCGTAAAATACTGACTGGTTTGAGGGAAAGAGACAAACGGGAAAAGTCTGAAGAAAAAATTGACTGTCTATATATTATTATTATTACTGTATATATATTATTATTATTATTATTATTATTATTATTATTATTATTATTATTATTATTATTATTATTATTATTATTTGAGGGATTCCCCAAAGGCCGAAGCCTAAATCAAGGGGGTCTCCGAAAATAAATATACGTGTACAATGCGTGTACAATAGGGTGCAATTCTTAAAAGGAAGAAAATATTACGATAAAAAAAGATTAATGTGAAGAGGATAAATAAGAAGTCTGAGTAGAAGCAAGCGAAAAGGGTACTGGTAAAGAAGGGGGGTAATCAGGAAGTGAGAAAACCTCGAGGATGGAATCTACACCTGTGGAAATGGGACTTAACGTGCCGGCTAAATACACCACCGGTTTCAGATATCCTAATCTCGGTAGGCAGGGAGTTCCACGAGGTGATCATGGAATGTAGTAGAGTGGATCGGAAACAGGGACCAGTGTGAGTGGGCAGGAGGTAAAAGTGGGGACGTCGTGCACTCATGGATAGAACTATGTTGAGATTATTGAGGGTTTCCGGGTATTGGCGGGTGAAATGGTAAAACAGTTTGAGGCAATGTATATGCCGCCGCCACGCAAGACTTTCCCATTCAGCAGCTTCAAACACGTTCTCCATGCCATGAGGAATGGGCACTTTCCGACGGTGTAAATACTGCCTGGCCACGCGTGCTTGCAATCGTTCCAAAAGTGTCAATATTTCCTGCGGTCAGTTTGTTATTCCACAGTGGTGAAGCATACTCAATGGAGGGACGGACGTATCCTTTGTAGAGGCGGGCAATGAGAGCAGGGGTCAGATTGGGTGACATGTAGGATAGCAGAACAACGCGACGACGAAAGTTGGAGGTGACACTATTGATGTGGGTCTGGAAAGACAGGCCAGGATCCAGGGTGATTCCTAGATGGCGGTGGGTAGTCGAGGGACATAGGTCTGCAGCATCCACACGCAGTGCTGGGGCAGGAGTTTGGGCGGGGTCAAGTTTGCCGAATACAACACGCACGGATTTAGCGGCATTAAATCTGCCACCAAATGTAGCAGCCCAGTCCATCACCATGTTCACTGCTGACTGGAGCTGTTGAGGTGCTGCTGCTGGCGGTCGGGATAACCCCAGCGCAGTATCATCGGCATAGAGGTATGTTTCCGTCCTGTTGCCATCAGGGATTGATCTCGGGAGGGTATTAATGTACAGGAGAAATAGGATGGGGCCAAGGTGGGAACCTTGAGGAACTCCCGCCGAGATAGGGACGAGGGGGGAAAGGTCTTCACCAACTTTGACCCGTAACTTGCGAGCTTCAAGGTAACCTGCAAACCAAGTAGTAGCCGTTGGGTTGCATAGTGGACTCTGGCAAGGTACGTTCGGGCCTGACTGGAAATTTTTATTTCCATTCCTATCAGGTTTGGCCTCATTTCCTCTGTGCTGCGCTGATGAGTTCAAAAAGAACGAAACAGCATGCTGTCCGCAGATTGAGTACATGTACATTTTAAAAATAATTTTGCTCTGCGCAAACGCTACTTGGCTAGAAATTAACATTTCACATAATACCTGGTAATTATCTTCTTGAAGAAAATCGATTTCGGTAAACTTTCATGACTTCGTTGTAGTGTGGCGATGACAGCAGAATTTGTTCTCTTTATAGCTATTATAAAATTGTTGTATCCGCGTCGATTATTTGCATACTATAAAATATACGCATTCCTTTACCTAGACCTCAGATGGTGAGCTAAGGAAAAATTGTAACATGGGAAATTGTGGGCACAAGTTATGCGATCGAGTCCAACAACTAAACCAGCTTTTGGACAGTCAGACGACGTGCACGATCTAGCACAAAACTGGCAGGGAGTACTGAGACAATCCACAGCATGAAAGTCACCTTCCCCTCTTTTGAATTAGCACTAATATCCATGATCATTCCAAGTTGGAAGGCCGTTGGTTAGCGCTATCGGGTAGGGGTCAAGCTGACTTTCATGCCGTGGAATGTCTCAGTACTCTCTGTCAGTTTTGTGCTAGATTCTGCACGTCTGACTGTTCAAAATTTGGTTTAGGTGGTGGACTCGATCGCATAACTTGCCCCCACAATTTCCCATGTTACAATTCCTTAATGTGCTACTCATTCGGTATCTACCTCCACTGAGGAGCTCGCAGTGAGCGAAACAGCGGCCTGGAGTGGAGGATATGAAACATCTTTCCAAAGGCGAACTCCCTCACTGCGGTGTGGTGAATAGGGCCAAGAGTGAAGGGTCGAAAAGGCGGACAGTTTCAAATTATTATTAATTTTTCAAATGGCCCAGTCTTTCGCAACTTCTGAGATGTTTCCCTTCAAAGTGTAATACGATGTACTTAGTACTGTAGTTCACATGGTTCATGGGCACCATTGTTGTTCTTCCAGGACAAGTGTCCAGCGCCTTTGGGCTCCTTGAGCTTAGCGGCGCGTCAGTTGGCTCACTTTGCGTCGGGTTTCTGGCAGCACTCCTGCTGTGCTGCCTGTACCGCCGCTGCTCGGAGACCTCTACAGTGTCGTCCTGTCGTGCGCCAGAGTTTCCCCCTGCTCCTCCGTCGTGCTCAACTGACAACAGAACTCGATATGAATACACGCACGAGACAACGCTGGGCACATCAAACCTGGAGCGCGGAGCCAACATCAGCATTACCAATAATATCATCGAGAGCACCATGGCGAGAAGGGTCGAAAGTGATGCTTGTGAGGCAGAATTCAACTTAACGACTTGTGAAGCCTACGGTATTGTAGTTGGCGATGTCCATGTTTCCGATGCCGTCCTCATACCAAGCGAAGCGTATGATATCGTGGACGAGACAGAACAGCCGGAGTATGATGTTGTTCGCTTATAAAAGTTCGATTCAATTGGAGTGTGAGATGAAGCCAAAGTCCACAGGGATTAGCATCGCTGCACATGCGGAGCACAGCAAGAGCTACCAGGTATCAACAGGGAACTGCCTCCGGACACCATTGTCATGATCAACAGCCAAAGCCCTTGCCGCGGTTTGTGTTCATCAAATCAACACTGAGTTGGGTCAAACCAGGGATCCAAGGACCAGATAATCACAACACTCCGAGTTCTTTTAGCACCGTTAGCCATTAGCCTAGGTTCGTCATGGATTCAACCTCTGATAATAATAATTATTACAACACGGACACTTGCCGACTCTCACTCTGCCTGACTTCATTTCACAGGCTTACGTCATGTAGTTCCGCTAGTGACAGTAGTGCAACTGTTTACTCATCACAAAAGCTGCGATATTGTTCTGTCTTTCACAACTTTACAACAATTAAAGGGGAAGTTAAGGCAAAAATTAAAATTTCACCAGTTGTAGTCTTTGGGGTGCTGAGTCGAATGGTCGTGGTCCGAGGAAGCTGAGACGCTCCCTTCCTACTTGAATCCCAATCGAACTCGCGCACTTCCACCGAAACTGGGTGACTGCGCCCTACTAGATGGGGATTTGTATGCAAAATGTCACTAAAAGCGCCATTTCGTTCTTATAAAAGCACGGATGACCGCGATTGGCCCATATGTTGTACTCTTTTGGACGCTGAGTCGACTGGTTTTGGTCCGAAAAGGCTGCGATGCAGCATTCCTCCTTTATTCCCAATCGAACAGGGTTGAACAAGCGGTCACGTGCTCCTGTGTGCCCAAATCACCTGGTCACCACGCCAGCAGGGTACAACTTTGACACCAAGGTTCAACTCGAGTGACAGGACTGCACCCAAAAAAGGTCAAACACGCTAGTAAGTTGTACCCTGCAGGCACGGTGACCAGGTGACTGGTGTACGCAGGAGCACGTGACCGCTTGTTCAACCATGTTCGATTGGGAATAAAGGAGCAACGCTGCATCGCAGCTTTTTCGGACCAAAACCAATCGACTCAGCGTCCAAAAGACTACAACATATGGGCCAATCGCGGTCATCCGTGCTTTTATAAGAACGAAATGGCGCTTTTAGTGACATTTTGCATACAAATCCCCATCTAGTAGGGCGCAGTCACCTAGTTTCGGTGGAAGTGCGCGAGTTCGATTGGGATTCAAGTAGGAAGGGAGCGTCTCAGCTTCCTCGGACCACGACCATTCGACTCAGCACCCCGAAGACTACAAGTGGTGAAATTTTAATTTTTGCCTTAACTTCCCCTTTAATCTCTCAAGAAATTCGCTTCCTTGTTATTGAGCACCTCTGCTCGTTTGGTCACTGCGAATTAAAATAAACTCAACAACAAAGACGACCCTTCCTTGCATACCGTCCCAGAGTTCTTCGTTTTCCTCTCTCGTTCATAATCGCCCCGCTGCATTATTGTTGCATGGGCACGTTTTCACTTGTAAAGCGAACAAAATACACAATACTTCTGCTGTGAATCGCATAATGAGGTTCAACTGTTACTTTACCGTATTGTTAGTATTAGTAACCACTGGTAACTTACTTAAAATGATGTCAATAAATTCCATACTGGGGAATCTCCCCTAAAACACGCATGCCATGCAATTCATCAAGTAACATTAAATCTTCCAACGCTCATAGCTTCAAACACATAATGCCATCTATTCTTGAAATTCCAGAACTCCTGTCCCTTGGAAACAGAATATTAAATTACACGGAGTTGCAGCATTGCTGACAAAGCACAGTTTTCGATCAATAATCATACATACAATATCAACAGCCATTTCATAGTAGCTGACTTTCAGAATACTTCTTGATGTATTCTTGTTGTACGGGTGTTCAATACCAAGTGTGTGTATCTGTGTGTGTGTGTGGGGGGGGGGGGGGGGGCAACGTGTCCACTGGATAACTCAGGCACTAGTGCACAATGCAGTGTACACACAGGAGAGGTGCTGAACAGAGTAGGAACAGACACAGGCACACTGCTGGATAGGTAACCGGGACAGCGCTGGCAAAAGGAAGTGCTTACATGAGCAGCACTTGCACTTGCGTGCCCTGTGTCCCTCAAGCTACATAAACACTGGCAGCATAACATCAAACCTAATCCTAATCCTAAGTTCACATCGGAGATATGCTAGAAAGACGGGGAAATGATCGAAATCTCAGTTTCAAGTGCAAAACGCTGGAATTTTGCAGAATTTGTGGAATTATTCAGGTTTGACTATCTATGGTGGCGACTAGTTTGTGACTACCTTTTCCTGGGCACAGGGCGAGGTGGTGCCGAGTTTGGAGGTGCAATTGGTGGTCTGTGTAGGGGTCCCTTGGCGCGGCCTGGCAGAGCGGGCGGATCGGTGTTGGGTCGCTTCAGCGCCGAGCGAAGTTCCCGCTGCGGCGGCTTACTGTTTAGTCCATGTGGCTGTCTTGACGGTGCTGGTGCCGCCAAACCAGAACCAACCGGTAGAAGCCGGGTATCGGGGACCTTTCGCTGTGCATTCTGCTGTGCTTTCAATCTACTGTTATTAGGCAGGTTGGCAGAGGAGGTCGGTGGCGGTTGTTTGCGATCAAATTGATCAAACCGCGTTCTGAACAAGGACACGGAAAGACAGGCCAATTGCATTGTGTTAACAAAGTGTATTACAATAATGAAATAGGGCTGCAACGGGTAGGGTTTGGTCGGGTAACGAGTTCGGGTATTTCTATTCGGGCAGCACGGGTACCCTATTGGGTATTTTCGACATAGTTTGTATAGTGAGTGTGCACTTGTTCTACATAGAGAGTGAACAGCAAGCAAGTAGCCATGCTTTTACATGCACCATTGCGAAAATACCGTACAGGTTCTCTTGAGTAAACTGCTATCCAAAATACCCGCTCTAAGTACGGATAGCACGGGTACCCTCCTACCCGATGACACCCGTGATATGAAATAGATAGCAGAATGCAGACGTTCTATTCTACCTCAACTTTCCCCAGGAGAGTGCCTCAAAGCATGCAAAGAATACCCTTGCTTTTAGATTGTGAGTGAGGTGAACTGATAATAATGTCACTCAAGAGTGAGCACGGACACTGTACGGTGTTGAAGCAGACACTTATCGCAACCAAGCCAAGCTCTGTATTTTCTGCATATCGCCCAGGCATCACTGGCTGACTGTGCAGTGTTCCACCCGGCGCTGTGAGCCTCACAGCTCCCTGTGCTAATGTTATTCATATGTCCCAGTGCAGTATTCAACAAGCTGCGAAAACACAGTGCAGCTCGCCAACAGGCATAGGCAACACAACCAACTTCCCACACACAAAGTCTCCTCGGCTGGAATGAGCGCAGTAACTTTGATTGATGGCCGCTAGATATCTACATGTAACACAAGTGCATGCAACCAGCTCTATGAAATAGCCATCCTACATTTCAGATCAAAATACAGGGAAACCTGTCTAAGACGACCGCTCAAGGGACCTTCAGAACGTGGTCTCTGTTACCAGGTTGTCTCCTTATTCAGGGTTATTCGCCTGGAAATAGCATCCGTAGGTTCTGGTTGCAGTGGTCTTCTAGGACAGGTGGTCACCTTATCCGAGTGGTCGCCTTTACAGGTTTTACTGTACCGTAAAACCTGTAAAGGTGACCAGTCTCTTAAGGCCACCGGCACCAGAAGAAAAGTACAACTACAGTCAACTTTGCGTATAACGACACTCGGCCGGGCATCAGAAAAGTGTCCTTATTCGCGAAGTGTCGTTATACCCGAAGTCTCATTTTAATGTACACAGGCAGTATGGACTTTGCTCCGGGCATGGAAATTCTGTCGCTATTCGCGAATTGTCAATAGATCCGCAGTCGTTACTAGCGAAGTTGACCGTAGTACTAAGGCATGATACTTCCAGTTAAATGACCCTGGACAAGGCGACCGCCTGTACACAGTGGCCACAGTTTGATGGTCCCCTGACCGGCAGGCTTAGACAGGGTTCACTGTTCACCAAATAGTTATTGTACAAACAATACACTCATACGTCGGTTATCCGGACCCCAAAGTTACGGGAACTTCGGTCTACCGCGCAGGCACCCTTTGGCGAGTTTCAGTGGAAATATTTTTTCACTTTTGTGGGAAAAAATGACGTCGCATGCCATATCTATGGTCTTTCCGCATCAAATTGATGTGATTCGGAGTTACGGACATTTCAAAGTTACGGGTAGTGCCCGGTCCCGGACGGCCCGGATAAACGGGGTCTTAGTGTACACACAATGCTATGCACGTACCGATTAGCTGGCGGGGGAGCATCAGCCCCGCCGAGGCACTTGGGCCGACAGCCAGGACACTTGGCGAATACACAGCCGGGACAGCACAGCACCAGTATCACCATCAGAAAGAACAGGGCGCCCAGCCCGATACCCGCCATCATTCCCGTGCTGAGGCGACGGGGCGACCCGCCCGGGGCAGAGTCCCCCGACCCATCGGGCTGGGTCACGTCCGGGTTGCCCAACCCGTGGGGTGCATTGGGATCGAGCAGGGGGTTCTCAACGAATGATGTCGACAATCCAGGATACGTAGGTTGCACACTGCCAGGAGGTGGACCTGTATTAGAAGAAACAAGAAAACCGGTAACGTTTTCCAAAGAGACTGCAGCTTGACACCTAAAATAGGCTTTCCAGAGATGGCACTGGCGTCACATACACTGGAAATCTATTCACAAGGTTAGATGCCCTTGAACACAGCTGTAGTAGTCAAGGCAAACAAAAGGGGGCCTTTGTCGAGTTTTAGCATCAGTTCTTGATGCGGAGTGTAGGCATGCATGCATGCATGAGTGAAAGAGAATGGTACACAGACAGAGACACAGTCAGACAGAAAGTTTGTGTGTGTGTGTGTGTGTGTGTGTGTGTGTGTGTGTGTGTGTGTGTGAGAGAGAGAGAGAGTGTGTGTGTGTGAGATACAGAGAGGCAGATAGAAACAGACAGAGACAGACAGACAAAGGCAGAAAGTGAGACAGACAAAACAGGGTGAGCACAAATTCACAGGTACTATTCAAGTAGTTTCGTACGTGTAGCCCCGCAGTGGGGTGGATAGAATCCGGCTCGGCAATGACATCGAAGTCGATCATCACACACCTGCAAGGAACAATGGATGTGCAAGAGCAAAACACATTGCATCACCACCAGCAAATATGTGTTGCTAATATGTGTTGCTAGCCAGGATATCCAATTCATCATGTTCTTTATTGTTAGGTAAGAGAATTTTCCAAAAAATACCCCAAAACGGAACGCAGATTTTAGCTGATATCATCACAAAGTCAAGGTTAGCACAAGTGAGGGGATAAAGGCCAATTCATACTTCATGGTACGGGAAAGTCCACAGAGAACTTGCATGCTCTTTGAAAACACACCCTGCGTCTAATCCTGGTTTAGAAAATAGCATTCTCCTTACCCCACGTCCCGAGCACTCCAGGCCGGATGGCCCCGTCGGACAGCGTGCATTGCGTATCGAGTTCACCGAGATGCACTGCTTGCTCATGCAAACCTGCGTCATCAAAACATCCCGAAAACAGGACAGACAGTGAGAGGTGTGTCAAATGTCAGTGAAAGTAGAAACACGTGCATCACCAAATCAGCAGAGTCACACAACAGTTTATAACATAGAAACCATCATGGTGTGGTACAGCAGTTCACATCCCTACATAAAATACTCGGATGTTGAGCCAATAGTAATATGTAAAGAGAAAAGGACCTATAAGTTACTAGTTATGACTGACAGTCCATGAAGGTAACGAGATAATATACAGTCAGATTGTGCGACAACAGGGCACACAACTGACAAGTTTCTTGAGACATTCGGCGACCTGACACCTAGTTCCAACACAGCTACGAAGCGCAAACCAACAACCTTGCAACTTGGAAGGCTCAGGTGCCGAAAGTTCCAATGAGGGGAAGGGATGTGCCGCGAAGATGTGCACGAGCTATGTCAGTTTTGTGCGTCGTTGTCACACTATCTGACTGTATATTATATCGTTACCTTGGTGGACAGTTAGTAATAACTAGTAATTTATAGGTCGTATTCTCTTTACACATAGAATACTCACAACACATAACATAGAAAAAATAATACGATGCACCACTGCAGTCAAGCATTGAATTCTCTCCGAGGCACATGTGTACCTAATCCTAGTTAGTGAAATCCATCCTTTTGAGCATCATACAAAGCCACGGTTGTGCACGACCTGGAGGGACGATAGTTCTGTGGAATGAATGCGCAGTCAACCTACTCAGCCTAAATCTCAAGTCGATCGACACTGGTTTATATAGAAACATGGATGCGATTTTCGTTGTCCAGCATAGCAAGCTGTTTCATTCCGGCGGGTGGGAAGGTGGCACTAGTATGAAATGATAGTACAAAATGAACGATGTTCGTTTCAGGCACGACTGGAAACTTTTGCGACGACCCTCAAGAGTCACATTTGAATTCAACTGGATTCCAGCACCGTTTTCGCAATGTAGAAAGATACACACTCAGATACTCAACATTTCTATGCAATATGATCGAGAAAATCGAGACTGCCGACTTAAACAATTGGCCATATCATGATTGTCATCCGAATATGGTTCTCATAAAAAATCAAAACAATCCATCACTTGAGGGTACTAGTAGTTAAAAAGGGACCAAGACATGTAATAATCAATGCTTTTCGTTCCCCCTTCAAACGGGGCATGTGACTGAGACGCACACCCACGTACGCAAGCACGCACGCACACACAACACACACATACACCGGAATATAGTGAAGTCCAATGGCTCATCCCTCACCTGCGCCCGTCCACAGACAGTGCCATCAACCGTCAGCCCAGGATCAGGAATATCAGCGCCGAGATCAACACTAGCTTGTCTGTGTAATCACACATGTACCAGGCAGAAAAATATAATGAGAATACGATCAATGTACATTTATGTATGTAAAATTATGCAGAGACATATTTCCTCCAGGACATGAACGGATGCACTCATGCACATAATTACATACGACACATGCATGAACACACACAGACGCAAGCATGCATATTCATCAACATACACAGATACATAAGAGATGCACAAAGGAAAGTAAGGCTTTTTGTTGTAACTCATAGTTTCATGGTCACAACCAATCATCAGGCAACAGAAGGATATTAGAAGCAGCACAGGTACATGTATGTGAAGAGAAGTAGAGAAGACACGAGCCATCAATGCAGTGCAGACACAGATACACATACAAGCACAGTAAAACCTGTCAAGGCGACCACTCGGATAAGGCGACCACTCGGATAAGGCGACCACTCGGATAAGGCGACCACTCGGATAAGGCGACCACTCGGATAAGGCGACCACTCGGATAAGGCGACCACTCGGATAAGGCGACCACTCGGATAAGGCGACCACTCGGATAAGGCGACCACTCGGATAAGGCGACCACTCGGATAAGGCGACCACTCGGATAAGGCGACCACTCGGATAAGGCGACCACTCGGATAAGGCGACCACTCGGATAAGGCGACCACTCGGATAAGGCGACCACTCGGATAAGGCGACCACTCGGATAAGGCGACCACTCGGATAAGGCGACCACTCGGATAAGGCGACCACCTGCCCCAGAAGACCACTGTAACCAGGACCAAGAGATGCTGTTTCCAGTCAAACGACCCCGGATTAGGAGACCACCTGGTAACAGAGACCACGTTCAAAGGTCCCAGAAGAAAAGTACAACTAGTACCAAGGTATGATATTTCCTGTCAACTGACCCTGGATAAGGCGACCACCTTTACCCAGTGGTCACACTTTGAAGGTCCGTCGAGCGGCCGGCTTAGACAGGTTTCACTGTACACATACAGTGTACATGTACAAAGTAGAGTATCTGGGCCATAGCACTGGGGCTACAGGTGGTCCGGAGATATGGCAAACTTGGTCGGAAATGAACATTATCGACTGAAAACCCCCACGTCTTGCATGAATTGGGTGGGTCAGGTTTTTTGAAATAAGGTTCGACAATGACCTGTGGTGCCGGACCGAGTGTTTTGGCCCCGTGTACATGGTGCAAACCTTAGCCAGATCTCGTCTCCAAGACCGCTTTTCTTTAGAGAATGAGAGGGAGAGACACACACACACACACAAACACACACACATACACATACACACACACACACACACACACACACACACACACACACACATACGGACGGACGGAGAAAGACGATTCGCGTGTTCATACCTGCAAGTAATTCGTTGATTTCCCAGTTGATAGGTAACCTGTCGTGCTGTTTTGCTCAACCCTATGACTGGGTAGCGTACACTGGGCGGAACGTTACACTGGAGCTGGCCGCACAATACATCCCTGTACACACACATATGACAAACATGCAGGCATACACACACAGACACACACACACACACGCACACACACAAACGAGAGGACAGAACAATATTTCAGCCAGGTTGTTTTCTAATGTTTCACTAGATTTTTGCATTCGATGAGCACGAGTGGGAAGTGGGATGATGCGTTTAGGTATAGCCAGGTCCTGGGTCCTTGACTCCTTGCATTCCGATACACTTAGTGCAGTGATATATAGTGAACACTGAGTCTCTCTTCAGCACCACATCAAGAGCATTCTTCACTACATAGCCAGCGTCCGCGGTGCTAGGATGTTGCCTACCCAGACACTGTTGTGTCCTTGCGGGGGAAGTCCCGACCTAGCTCGATTGTAACCAAGATCTCCTTGCTATATTATGCTCCCTCACCTCAAAGTGGTTGAGCGCCTTTTCTGGTTTACATCAAAATTATTTGCCCTCGTGCGAAGCTCACTGTGATTATTGCAGTTAAAGCACTCTGTCTTTGATGCTTTGAGCCGGTATAAAAATGCTCCATTGTTCATTAGACTTCATCGCCACCTGTTCATGCAGTAACTCAGAGCTTTGGTGAGAAACCTAACAAGGTCTAAATAGCTAGCCGTTCAGAGATTGAGGACTACCTTGTAGAGAGGTGATCGGTGCAGGTACTTACTTTTGTCCGCAGGGTAAGTAGTTGCTTCCCCGCTTTCCACAGTTTCCAAACTGGTTACCGACCACGTTGAGACGATCATAGCACAAGTCATGCGCCTGCTCACCCTCTGCAAAAGGCACAACAACACACAAGAAAACATATAGAACACACAAGTGTGTACGGATTAACACACAGACTACGGTGAAATGTGTCCAAGACGACCGCTCAAGGGACTCTGTTACCAGGTGGTCTCCTTAGCCACGGTCAAGAGACTGGAGATAGCATCCCATGGTTGTGCATTTAGTGGTCTTCTAGGACGGGCATTGGCTTTATCCAAGTGCTCTCCTTGACAGGTTTTGCTGTGTATCAGTAGAAAGCTGAACTGCACAGCAAGAGCATGGCTTGCCCCTGATAATTACCAGGTGCCTGGAATAATCAAAGAGATGTCTCCTGTCCCAACCTTTGCAGCATTCTTCCCCTGTGCAATAGTGACATCACATACATGTGTGTGTGTGTGGGGGGGGGGGGGGGGGTGCGCGAGCGTGCGTGTGTGTGTGTGGGTGGGTGTTTGTTTGTGTGTGCAGACATTGCAAAACGCAGGGATGTGTATGTGTGCATGCAAGTCAGCTAGCTGGACTAAGCTGGTCAACACTACTGAAGTTTCTCCACTACACAGCTATGGTCAACCTACGGTCACTGTCGTTGTCATAAACGTGAAACTTACGTGGTCCCCACAATGATTGGCACTGAGTGGTTATTGTCAAACACTCTCCATTCCAGCAGTAGGCCTGAGCATGTTGGGTGAAAACAATTGGAAGTACAGGTTGGAAACTGACGTAAAGCAAGGAGATTGGAAATATCCATCGCATAATCCACACAAAATACTGCTTGTTCATAATAGAAACCCAAGACAGTATAGACCACAACTGTTATAATGTCCAGAATCACAGAGCAGAGAGGCAAAGCATACACATGCTACACATACACAGCATACTATGAACTTTGGCAGTAAGCATGTAGTCCACCGGAGGTTATTACAGTTTACTAGTGCCTAGAGTCACCCAGCAGAAATGCAATGCAAAAAGATACTAACTTAGTACATGCTATACACTATCAAGGAGAGCATGCACCTATCAAAGGCCATGATATACAGGCGAGTAAAGTGACACTTACGTTTCCTGGCAGTGGACTGAGTGAACATGGCAAGCCGTTGCGATACACACTGTCGTCTGGACACTGTTCATGAGAGAAGGTGTGTGTGAGTGAGAGAGAGAAAGAGAGAGAGAGAGAGAGAGAGAGAGAGAGAGAGAGAGAGAGAGAGAGAGAGAGAGAGAGAGGGAGAGAGAGGGAGAGAGAGACAGAGACAGATATGAGATAGTAGCACCCGTGACAGCATAAGCAACAACAGAAACAGTAATGGCATTCTTGGAGAAGGCAGTGTTGGTATTAGCAGCAGGGACGGCACCAGAGGTGCAGGAGGATATATCATCGGCAGCAGCAGCAGCAGAAGCAGCATGCACCAAAAGGAGTAACCACAGCAGCAGCAGCAACAGAATCAGAAGCAGCAACAGCAGCGGCAACAGCAGCGGCACAGAAACAGCGGCAACAGCAGCAGCGGCAGCAGCAGCAGCAACAGCAGCAGCAGCAACAGCAACAGAAAGCAGCAACAGCAGCAGAGACACCACCATCAGCAACAGCAGCAACATCAGCAACAGCCATCGAGACACTATCATCAGCAACAGCAGCAGATACACCACCATCAGCAGCGGCAACAGCAACAGCAGTAGCGGCAGTAACAGCAGCACCAGCAGCAACAGCAGCAGCAGCAACAGCAGCAGCAGTAACAGCAGCAGAGACACCACCATCAGCAACAGCAGCAACATCAGCAACAGCCAACGAAACACTACCATCAGCAAGACCAGCAGCAACACCACCATCAGCAACAGCAAGAGCAGCAGCAACACCACCATCAGCAACAGCAACAGCAGCAGCAACACCACCATCCGCAACAGCAGCAGCAACACCACCATCAGCAGCAGCAAGAGCAGCAGCAACACCACCATCAGCAACAGCGACAGCAGCAGCAACACCACCACCAGCAACAGCGACAGCAGCAGCAACAACACCAGCAGCAACAGCAGCAGAAACACCACCATCAGCAACAGCAACAGCAGCAGCAACACCACCATCAGCAACAGCGACAGCAGCAGCAACACCACCAGCAGCAACAGCAACAGCAGCAGCAACACCACCATCAGCAACAGCGACAGCAGCAGCAACACCACCATCAGCAACAGCAGCAGCAGCAGCAACACCACCATCAGCAACAGCAAGAGCAGCAGCAACACCAACATCAGCAACAGCAAGAGCAGCAGCAACACCACCATCAGCAACAGCGACAGCAGCAGCAACACCACCAGCAGCAACAGCGACAGCAGCAGCAACACCACCATCAGCAACAGCGACAGCAGCAGCAACACCACCATTAGCAACAGCAACAGCAGCAACATCAGCAACAGCCGTCGAGACACTACAATCAGCAACAGCAGCAGATATACCACCATCAGCAGCGGTAACAGCAACATCAGCAGCGGCAGTAACAGCAGCAACAGCAGCAGCAGCAGCAACAGCAGCAGCAGCAACAGCATCAGCAGTAACAGCAGCAGAGACACCACCATCAGCAACAGCAGCAACATCAGCAACAGCCGTCGAGACACTACCATCAGCAACAGCAGCAGCAACACCACCATCAGCAACAGCAAGAGCAGCAGCAACACCACCATCAGCAACAGCGACAGCAGCAGCAACACCACCATCCGCAACAGCAGCAGCAACACCACCATCAGCAACAGCATGGGCAGCAGCAACACCACTATCAGCAACAGCGACAGCAGCAGCAACACCACAACAGCAACAGCGACAGCAGCAGCAACACCACCAGCAGCAACAGCAAGAGCAGCAGCAACACCACCATCAGCAACAGCAAGAGCAGCAGCAACACCACCATCAGCAACAGCGACAGCAGCAGCAACACCACCAGCAGCAACAGCGACAGCAGCAGCAACACCACCATCAGCAATAGCAACAGCAGCAGCAACACCACCATCAGCAACAGCAACAGCAGGAGCAACACTACCATCAGCAACAGCAGCAGCAACAGCGACAGCAGCAGCAACAGCGACAGCAGCAGCAACACCACCAGCAGCAACAGCGACAGCAGCAGCAACACCACCATCAGCAACAGCGACAGCAGCAGCAGCAACACCACCATCAGTAACAGCGACAGCAGCAGCAACACCACCATCAGCAACAGCGACAGCAGCAGCAACACCACAATCAGCAACAGCGACAGCAGCAGCAACACCACCATCAGCAACAGCAACAGCAGCAGCAACACCACCATCAGCAACAGCGACAGCAGCAGCAGCAACACCACCATCAGCAACAGCGACAGCGCAGCAACACCACCATCAGCAACAGCGACAGCAGCAGCAACACCACCATCAGCAACAGCAACAGCAGCAGCAACACCACCATCAGCAACAGCGACAGCAGCAGCAGCAACACCACCATCAGCAACAGCAAGAGCGCAGCAACACCACCATCAGCAACAGCGACAGCAGCAGCAACACCACCATCAGCAACAGCGACAGCAGCAGCAACACCACCATCAGCAACAGCAGCAGCAGATACATCAGTGAGCAGTAGAGTAAGTACCTCAGCACTGACACCTGTGCAGAATTCCTCCAAGTCACATGTGTTCTTTTTCTGTCTACAACGGGAGCCAGCTCTCATGAACTGTGATCATGCAGAGAGAAGCGGAAAATGAAAACACATAGAATTAGATTGAGCACAGAATTGCGGACAAGGAATGGACACTGCATGCAGGATTTGGACTCTGTTTCCTTGGCTGGAAATGGAGGTATCAGTACCGATGAAAGCAGGCTGTGCATTACACTGTTTACAAAAGTTGATGTTTTACCAAGAGTTCAGACTCCAAGAGAGGAATGCGCATACATGTGCATGATGGTAATTTATTACGTTGGACGATTGGCATCATGTTACAAGGCGGCGGGCGCTCTGCGTCAAAACATTCTGTCAACCGTGCATTATGTTTAATTAAACTATCAAACAAGGCTTACATAATGTATAGCGGGAAATTTTCGGACGGAATTTATTTTCGTATGGTTTCATACACGGCCTCTTTTGTACTCTAATTAATTCCGTACTAAAATTTGTTCATGTGAAATTATGTACACTATAAATGATGTACATCAAAATGTAGCCATAACACACATGCAATGTGACTTGGCACGCGCGTTCTGCATGCGAATACGAATATTTAGCATGCAGCACTGTACGAAACAAAATTCGTATGAAAGGTCGAAATTCGGCTTTGTCCGAAAATAAACCCGTCCGAAAATGTCCTGCTATACAGTATACCAGTGATGGTAATTGTAGGGTTGAAAAGCAGGATAACAAAAGCAAGATACTAGTACAGTCATGATCTTACCTGGCAGTTCTGACAACAATCACCACCAGCACATTGACTGCCCTGGGTCAGTCTGCAAGATCTTGCATCACAGCATCTATCCACACACTCCTGCAAAGCAAAGAGGGACGTTTCTACTTCAATATACATCACCAGAGTAATAATATACAGTCAGACTTCGCTTATCCGGTCCTTTTTTATTCGGATCCCTCGCCATCCGGAAGAAAATCACTGGTTACCGATTTCCAGCATATGCCATGCATACATACAGTATGCGTGTTCGATTATCTGGTTCCCTCGCCTATCCGGATATTTTTGTGGAAAACAGATGTGTGCGGTTATGCGAGGTCTGACTGTAGTCCTAATCATTTGAGTACAGAGTATGCCTACTCATGTACACAGCAAAATCGGGCGCCGAAGAACACTTCACAAGGCTGGAATGTGTAAACAATTAAGAAAATCCAGGCTAGGTTTTTTTCCAGAATTAATAACACATTGTTCATGTGTATATGCATGAACATTATATATATATTATTATATGCATGAACAGTTCTCTGCTGTTTCTCTTGTGGTGTTATCGTATCGTACGTATGGAGAACACAAAGGACGGCGAGAGAGCTCCTTACCCGCTCACTGCCACAATCACACTCCTCGCCGGCTTCTTTGAATCCATTGCCGCACACAGGGTCAGCAAATAGCTACAAATATGTACAGGGAAAGAGAGGGGAGATTACACAAGCACACAACCGTACAAACATGACCGCACGAGCAAACAGACATAAGCACGAAGGAAATCGGCCCGAATGCACGGGCACAAGCATGCACGCATGTATGCCGAATCACAGTTGCTCTTGATGGGAATACTTATGAAGAAGTCTGCCAAGGGAGCAAAGTAGAGTGATTATCGCCATGGAGTCCAGCGGCCATCGTAATGGACATCCCATGCTCTAGTTTAGCTGGTCATCTACCGATATACAAGTCCTCGCATTCGATACTAATTATGCTACAGGCTATCGACTCTGTGTGCCATTCGTACAAGTAGAAGGAAAATTTTCTTTCTCTGTAACTGGCCAACACAACCCCACTGTACAAACTTCCGGCAGCCTTTCAGTTGCCAAAGCAACATACATTTGCACTATTACCTTTGTTGGTCGATTTGACAAACAGTGAGCGCCGCCAGCATTGATCAGCGAGTCCTTGTCTTCACGACTGCAGCGGCTGAACTGGTGCGTTGAGCGGGGCCTGCAAGGCACATACGTTACAGGATGATATGTAAAACAACCAGAGCGATGTACATCGTAGTTTAGGGACACGGCTTTGCTGAAATAACCAGTACAATTTGATGGCCGTAATCCGATCATATAACTGACAACGCAAACATGACGTAGAGGTCAATGCTTCAATCTTTCATTCTCTTTATTGCAGCACACATTACTACGGAAAGAGCGGAAACAAGCCAAAAGCAAAACAATAGTACAACGATGGACATGCAGGCGTTACATAAGCTGTGCTGGTGATGATGGACATGCTTGGTCAAAGAAATTCACACAGAGAGTGGTGGTGGTGGTCAAGCCTATCTGTGTGCTTGCCAGCGGTGCAATACATGATGGTATCAGCAAAGTGCAACACTATCGATGAATGTGTTGCAGATAAGTTGCACAAGTGCTGCTCCAACTTACCCAGCAGTGGCGGCCATTAGGCATGGTTTGGTCCGAGGGCAGTCATTACATGCACCTGCCAAACAGCATGAAACAGGACAAGAAACGAAAGAGTCAGAAGCCTTGCAAGACAAGGGCCGGGAGACAATCAAAGGGAAAAGTATGTATTTTTATCTGGTCAAAACGTCTACATAGGGCAAGGTTAATACTGTAAAGTTAGCATCTGTTCACACACACACACACACACAGTGCTCAATCCCGCAAATGGCAAAACATCCTTACAAATAAGGTAGAATGAGGCTTTAGTGTGACTCAAGTGTCACGCTTACGCGATCATAAGTCACGATAAAGCCACTTTCTACCTTACTAGGACACGGTAAAAAAATCTGTCCAAGTGTAGTGCCAGCGGGAAATGCCAGTGGGATACCATTGCCCGCACCAGTATAAGCCATCTCAGGATCACTCTGTTCCTAATTTATGCTCAAAAACCAAATTACAGGACCGGCGGAAGCAGTTTGTGATTGGTGTGGCTATGCCCTAGCCTTTTTTCACCTTTTGCGTATGATATATGGAGGGTATACACATGTCCTCCTTAGCAGTAAAGACACGTTGGTGGCAAACAAGTTGGTCCTGCCATGGCCTGGCCGACTGGACCGGTTTCATCGGGCCTAATTTCAGGACACGCAGTGTGGGACATTCTCTAGCATTGTGCATTGGTGTACTTACGCCCATCATCATGCTGCATGTTAAGATTGTGACCCATCTCATGTGCAACAACGGTCGCAACCATTGTCGCTGGGTGTCCACGCTTGTGCTGAGGATAGAATGCACAAAAAAGGACATTAGTTTCCGTGTTGCAATATCATTCAAGTCCCTGCAACCTACACACACATGTGTACATAGCTACATGTACGTACAGACAGACAGTCACCCCCCCCCCCCCCCCCGACCAATTCAAACACACCTGCGTGCCTGCGTGCATACGCACGCAGGTACAACACACACATGCAAGGACACACACACGCATGACCACACCCATGCATGCACAGGCACACCACCCCTCTGCCCCCTCCCCCCCCCCCTCCCCCTCGCCAACCGAACACTGTAAGACACACAACCTGCCGGACAATGCACACTCTTTCAACCCTCGCAGACGTCACAAACACACATTCTCACCTGACTTATACCGCCAGACCCGGTCGTGGAGCACATGGAGTTGAGTCGTCCCAATCCCACGGTTGCACCGGCAAAGTCTGTAGCACTGATCAACTGGGCATTGTCATGTGGTGTGTTACTTGTGCGCAGCCAGTTCTTCTCTCGATACGACAGGAACGTGTTGAGGGTCTCCTTCGGGTCGGTGGTGATGCGAATAGGGTTACCACGACTCCAGAGAACCACGGTGGTCAGTGCGATGCGCACTTGAATCTGCTTGTAAATCTGAAGAGGAAGGCAATCATACAGAGCCAAGAGATCTCGCTTAGCAGGTATGCCGCAAACTGAGATGGTGGTAAGCCACGGTGCAACCATGATTCATTTAAATTTCTAGCTACTGATTTTAAAACCCATGGGAAAGGTGTTCGCTCCCTACACAGGAACTTTTCCGCCGACTTGACACTTGACAAACTCATGACTGCAATTCAGAGTACACAAGACGTCCATCGAACCTATCACCATCTCGTGCTACTAAAACACATCCATCTAAATCTGGTGCACTTCCTTTTGGTGTCCTGCAAGTATTCGTGTAGATCTAATGAAAATAACTATAACTATATCCTGATAGCAACAGAAAACTCTGCTAGCTGACATGCGTGACCATCTTGAATTTTATACTTAGTAGAGAGCATCTTCACAGATTGGGTACAAAATCGGACTGACTGAACTTAGAAAACGGTGCGTTTCCCACCATCTCTCTGTGACTTTGGCTTCTAGCATACCACAATCACATGACTCCGTCATGCACCGGTCTAATCACATGACTTCATCACGCACTGATCTATTCACTTGACTTCATCATGCACAGGTCCAATCGTGTGACTCCATCATGCACCGGTCATGCACCTGTCCGATCACATGACTCCACCATGACTCCACCTTGCACAGGTCCAATCGCATGACTTCATCAGGCACCCTTACCATGTCCATAATATTAGCAGCTTGCAAGACAAAGTCCTGAATGTTGTTCCGACCTCCAAGAACTTCAATCTGCAACACCAAACAAACAGAAATTACTTCAGATTGGAGCCAGGACAGTCGGAGAGTTGTAGTCGGTATCACGTAATCGTCAAGGCGTCACTTGTACCATCTGTAAACCCTGCACAGTAGTAATCTGTAACACGTCTCAAGAATCCAAAAATGCAAGTCGTCTTTCAACACTTACATCGATGTGTGTCCCAAGACAAATATTGTTGAAGTTCAGTACGTGTGTGTGTATGCATAAATTCGGTGCAGCTTATACTACTATAGCAGGCATGGAAATCCAGTCGATTGACCCGGGCCGGCGCCCTCCGCGCGTACAAAACGTCGTTGCACGCAGTGCACATGTTGATCCGATGTGACCAGCGCGCTGCAGCGCATACGTGCATGTGTGTACCGCTTATCCACGGCTGCATAGCCAGCGCCCTGGCGCCGCTAGACGTGCGATTGGATTTCCATGTCCACGACAGTACAATGGTCAAGTTAACGGTGATGAACAGGTTAGATGTCTGGATTTCGTTACAGCAAGACTTGGGTGCGGCTTCTGCTCGAGAGTGGCTTATACTCTAGTGCGGCTTACACACCGGAAAATACGGCATGATGTATCCACGGTACCTTATAGTTGCACTGTAGTCTCAACTAGGAATGATAATCACTAGTTTTAAAAGTATTTTGTGTAAATTTTGGGCCAGTACACTCTCTGAACACGTACCATGTTATTGTCGACCACGAACATGAGCTCCACGAATCTCCATCCGTCCCACTGAGCCTGACGTGCAACCTAGAACAACAATAGCATTGCAGTGGCAGTGATAGTAGTGCAGAGCACGTAAACATACACATACACATAAGGCAATTGCACACTCAGGTATGCCAAGACGCCCCCGCCGAAGTAATTTATCTTGATCCGGGCACCACTTTACATCGCCAGGAGTGATGGTAACCGCAGTATGAACAATACTCGAACTTAAACAAAACAGTACAATAATTAACAGAAAGGGTAGGTTCATCAAGGATTTATGAAATCTCCTTTATTGTGTCTCACTGCCCAGACCCCCCACCCACCCACACACACACAAACCAACTCAGACCCAAGAAATTGCTCACTCTTCTCGGATGGGAAAGCTCTTCCAGCGTCTTCAGTGATGATTTCCTGTATTCCGTTACGTTCTTGCTATGTAGATGAGGATGACCTGCAGGTGCACGGGTAAGAATACACACGGTGATACAGAGAGTGATTATAAGCGAAATAGATGTAGGTATTTCGGACTGTTTGGTTTCACAACGAATGACCGGAGCATGATGACAGTTAGGACAAATCTGGCAAGCTCACAGCCCCCAAAGGTCAAACAGGCTGCATGCCAAGATGGAAAGACAAAGGCCACAGGTGGAGTAAACACAAATGCTGGATATGTCACATGCATGATGAAGAATGCTCTGCCCAGGTCTTTCAACAATGTTCATATCTACAGCTGACAGCAATGAAGAAACAGCGTACCGCATTGAGTATTGAAAGCGGTAGCAAGACCACACGGGAGCTAGCATGGTCTGAGTACGCTCATGGCAAGGACAAGACCACAACACATCCATATAGCACCTATATGTACTGGCAACCTCACACCCAACTGACTCACCACACTCCGTGTGTTCGTGCACGGACTCGATCTCCGACAGTTTGTAGAGAAAGTGCTTGTCCTGGACAGTACTTCGATCACTCTTCCTCACCGGCTCCACAACGTACACCTCGGAGCCATCGTAAAAGCTACCACTGCAAGGTCACATGAACAAGTGAAACATAAATACATGTATGAGCTGATGCCGTTCTTGCTGATCTCATTACGGGACAATTCGGTCTAGTGGAGTGCCATTGGTCTTTGCAACGTTTGGGAAAACTGTGTGTGTGGGGGGGGGGGGGGTACCAGTAAGCGAGAAAGGTGGAACCTATGTGAAACAGCAAGTGCTACCGAACTAGATTCACGGTCCGGGCTAGTTTGCACTGAAAGTCCTATTGTGCTACATGACACACAGCTATTGAACCATCACACAGCATGCATTGAATACGAACGGCACGCGATAGTCAACAGATGAACACATGAATATCATGTTGGTACCTCAGTCCACGGCATGTGCTGACTGCTGCCCACGTTGCCGACCTATCCACACCAGCCGTGTCAACATGGCCTTGATAGTAGCAGCTGCTTGCGCCGGACTACAAGCAAACACGGAACGCAGGCAGTGCACAGCGAATACTGTAAAACATGTCATATTTGTTGTAACTGTAGATTCGTTGACTTCGGTAGAGAAGCCAGGCACCTAAATTTAGATTACATCTAAAAGGCACCATAGCATCCAAAAAATGGCACGCACAGTGGGTTGGTCTAAGACCATGATTGAGAAAGGAGAGGTACCAGGTTCAAGTCCTGCTTGGAAGCGGAAGGAATTTTTCCAACCGTGCTGCGACCCACAGTTAATTGGGAACTCGTGGCCTGGCATGAGTAATACATGGATGTGGCAAATGGGATTGAAGCCTTTGGCCTCTGGTTGGTGGATCTGATCTATCTTCCCCCGCCGTTTAGGAGCTGCATCTGACGCCTGATCATGGGGTGGTGGCGTCCCACGGAAGCGGAAAGGTGGTTCTTGACCAGGGAGTTAAACGACTCCTTGTTCTTGACCTGCCCGTTACGCGAACCCGTCGAATTTATTAATTATAATTATAGCATGCAATGTACACACACTTGAGAGGGACGAAAAGCGTTTCTTCTGTGTGTACTAGGCTCTGCACCGTGGTGTATTGAGCACTCTCACGAGCAACCACAACTCCCTCCGAGTTAGCATGCAATGTATGTGAAGGGAATGCTGGTCACCTAATTCTACATTACACCTGTAACCCATCAGGTCCTTGACATGGAAATTTTAATACACTTAACCATTTGAGGCCCATAGTACGGATATATTCGTACCAGTGTACAGTGCATACTTTTCAAAGCGCAACCTAGCGTAACTCGGCTCTTCCTTGACCAAATCGGACGATCGAAAGGGCTATCGACATTAGAATTGTCTCAGCTATCGGCTCGAAAAAACCCGAAAGCGATCTGAGTTCGGAGAGCGGAGATACGAGACTCGAACTAAATTCGCTCAGCAGAGTCAACTCGAGCGCGTTCATTTTGAACTCGTTTTTAGGGGTTTTCCCTGACTCGCGGCCCACGCAGCTACAGATAGTTCATGTCATCGCAAAGGCATGTTTTTCAGCTCTCCAGGAAAAAAATTTGAGCGATCTGCGCTGCAATTTGTTGAAATGGCAGAGAATTTGAGTTGGGCGCTCGCAATGCTGGCTTTGGAGCGCCGTATCGCGCTGCGGCGCTGGTTCTGTGGATCGAGTGATGTATTGCTGGCTATCGCTGTGTTTCTCTGGCCAAGAGCTTTCTAGAAAGCCCAAGATCACCAAATTCGGCCAAAGGACACCAAAGTTACGACCAGATAAGTACCTGGGCTCGCGTATGCAGTGCATTTCTTGAAATAATTGTGGGCCCTAAAGGGTTAAAATGTCATGCTTTACTGTACCAACAACGGCCGAGCTGGAGGCCATGGCGCGCATGGCATAGGCGTAAGGTCCAGATCCTACATTGCCATTTTATGATTATGACATCATAGCATATCATAGCAAACTGGTTTGTTCACAACGAACAGCTTGTTGTCATGGTACCAATATTTGCGTCAGACGTGTAGTCCACCTGATTTTAGGTTAAAAAAAACAGGACTGGAATTTAAAAAATCTTGTTCCATCATGGCGTGCTTCACCTGTCTTACCTGAGAGTGTAGGATGGTGCCATCCTGGTCTGCCTCATGGAACTGATGTGAGGCAGGGGCCACAATCCTGAAAGATGGCAATGCGGTGCACACACACAAAAAACATACCGTATCGGCTGGAGTATAGTGCACACTTAAGATGCGCCATTTCAGGCCCCAACTTGTACGTGCACACTATGCTCCGAATATGAGAATGCATGCACTGTGAAAAGTAGGGCAGTGCATCAAACAGTTGCAAAGTGTGCCACCTCTGACCCGGTGCAAGCCATAGGCATGCATTTTGTAGTGTCTATTGCCAGCTGTACTGCAAATACATGATGCGTCCGAGACCCTATACGTAGCGTGTACATTATACAAAGGTAGACTGAAGAACATCTTATCTAGCCAAGAATTTGCTTGCAACAGCCCATGTAGTTTCCAACATAGAACACAATCATCCCTGTGCAGGCAGGGGTCAAATTGATTTTTCATTTTGCGCCGAGCGGTAAACAAAAAGAAGGTGGCAAAGTGTGGCAAAACGTTTGAAATCCATCCGTATGGAGAGTTGACAGAATCAGCACTGAGTTAGTTAGTAGTAATAGTGCCCTGTGCACTGTGAACTCACCTGTTCAATTCTAGACGCAGTGTGAACTGACGTCCTAACGCACTCAGTTTCACGTGCACTTCTTCGGGGAAGTCCTGCTCACGAGAATCCTGCGAAAACAGTCGTTTGGCGACAAAAACAGCAGGGAAAGTCTTAGGATTGCGGGCCTGATATGTTTTGACAAGCTGTCAAAGTGAACCTAAGTTCTGGTTTGTGGCACAGAACACCTAAGGGTTATACCCGTAGCTATGCAGAAGACGTTACTTCAGTAACGTCTGGCGCTAGCCAGGGTCCACACAGCTTTAATTTGGTGTTTGTTTGTTTGTATCACGCCTGGTGCTATCCCGTATCTGTCCCGTACCGTACCAGCAAACACAGCTGGCCACATACAGCTGGCCGCAATATTCAAATAGGGCTTTCAAACGCAAGATCATAACGTGAAGCAACTTGGAATAATGAGTATGAATGCGAAGTGTATGGGGGAATGCATGTAGGGCGATAGTGCGGGTTCGAATCCCAGGTAATGCCTGGAAAAAATAGGAGAATTGAAAAATTTATTCCCGTAGCTATGCAGAAGACGTTACTTCAGTAACGTCTGGCGCTAGCCAGGGTCCACACAGCTTTAATTTGGTGTTTGTTTGTATGTTTGTGTGTTTGTGTCACGCCTGGCGCTATCCCGTATCTGTCCCGTACCGTACCGTACCGTCAAACACAGCTGGCCACATACAGCTGGCCGCAATATTCAAATAGGGCTTTCAAACGCAAGATCATAACGTGAAGCAACTTAGAAGAATGAGTATGAATGCGAAGTGTATGGTGGAATGCATGTAGGGCAATAGTTCGGGTTCTAATCCCAGGTAATGCCTGAAAAAAATAGGAGAATTGAAAAATTTATAACATCCCTTTTCTTTTTTTGCCGTCATCAAGGCGGTAGACGGTGTCGTATTACCCTCGACCGTACCTGTCCCGTACCTGTCCCGTACCGTTCCGTACAATCAAAGACGGCGCGGCTGGCCACAATGCATATTCAAATAGGGCTTTCAAATACAAGATCATAACGTGAAGCAACTTGGAAGAATTAGTATGTATGCGAAGTGTATGGGGGGATACATGCACGGCGATAGTGCGGGTTCGAATCCCAGGTTACGTCCAAAACAAAAAGTAGAAACTTATAAGAATTTATAACATCCCTATGCTTTTTTGTCTAGGTCATCAAGGCAAAAATGCATAGCGTAGGGCCCTGAGCTTCCAAGCTCTCTCGTTTCTGCATGATCATGACTTGTTCCGCTACAACATTTCCGTACAAATTGTTTCGCAGACATGGTGAATACTAGGTTCAGTGATCATTCTGGTTCTCCAATGCGCTGCGCGTACCGTCTTTCCGCCAATACACATATACGGTGAACTCCAGTTCCGCTGTTTTCAACTGATGAGGGGAACACTAAAATCTAAAAGTTCGAATTTTTTTGTGATAATAATCTGGTTTTGGAAATAGATTTTCATCGCTATCAGGTTCGGCCTCATTTTCTCTGTGCTGCGCTAATGAGTCCACGAAGGACGAAACAGTTCGGTCCGCAGATTGCGTTGTGTGATAATAATCTATAAACTGTTCAATGCCGTTATGCGGTATGGCCATGTCCACATCGATAGTACTCTCAATTTCTCTGATTCCACATTGAAACTCGATTTTTGAGCCAATAATAAATTAATAGAGAAAGGAAAGGTCGAACATCTCAGTACTCTGTCGGTATTACATTGGATACTTCTGCACTTCCACAAATGGGGAGGGGGAGGGGGCTCCCCACCGCTTTACGAGCTGCGTCTCCGCCTTTGATCCTTGAGGGTGGTGGAGTTCCAATGGATGCAGAAAGCTGTCTATTAAACTGAGTATAATGTGAACCGTGAAAGTTTTTAACTTTTCCACAAATTGAATATTTTACAACTGGTCTGCATGGTTATGTGTTTGCATGCCTGCGCTAATTTCTTGCTCAAGCTCCTTACGTTTCTGGGCAGATGAACGCGTGGCAGGACAACGTGATGTCTGGCTGGGGGAGTGTGGTAATGTACATCTCGATGTGCAGACTCTTCCTTTGTAAATACTGGCTCTGGACAAGCAGGGAGAAAACATACATCATTTTCACTGCACACTGACATCGTAGAGTGCAGCATGCAATCACATGCAATTCATTATCGTGAATATTTTGTTGGAAAATATAAATATACGCTAGAACGCGCACCAGCTCGCAGCACACAGGCACTCACTCGCTTTGCATGGCCGACTCCATCTATTTTAGCTCCTCCACAAGCGCAGTCATACTCCGTTTGGTTTCCGCCAGGCACGGACAAGCACAGTTATGGAACACACGCGACAGCGAACCGCCGCAGCAGTTACGTTTCAGTATCGGCATCGTCTCAGCAAGCGCACTAGTACTGTAGTAGTAGTAGTACTAGGCACTTCAGGTGGTTTTTTCAAAACCAGAAATACTCGTATTTCTTTCTTGTATCCGATTCAGATAGGTTTAGGAAGACTCCACAGAAAATTTGAAGCAAAAAGAATAACTTGGCACAGAGATATAGCCATCCAAAGTCGGAGAATTGAATAACGGCAATTTCAGTATTTCGACGGCACCAGCAGCATATCAGAAATTGGTAGGACTTGCTTCAGTGTCTATAGTGGCAAAATACCAAGCTCGCTGGAAGCACGTCAAAATAACCAGATGAATGCAGAAACAGCATGGTTTGGAAAAACTTCGCATTTTTCATCCGTCCGGCAGCTCAGACGAAGATATCGGGTGTGGTCACCATGGCAACTCCATAGCAACTCCATCGCAACAGCATGAAAACAGTGCAGAGAAGCCTTTGGAAAAGCATAAGATGAGACTTTGAGGTAAGATAAAGTACTTCGGAAGTAACTACAATAATTCAGTGCCAGAACACATTGTTGCTACATGTACATTACTGACGTGGTGACGACTACGGAAGAACAATGAGCCGAAGAATGAGCAAACTACATGTTGACTTTTACCGGGTATTTGACGGAAAGAAATGACAAACTATTACATGTAGAACATTGTTTGCAAATGTTTGGGACTACTGAAACTTCAGCAACTCCAGCATGAGAGATTTTGTGCATAGAGTGTGTGCTGGATTCTTGGTATAATATCACCGTCAATGCTTTTCTTGGTCGCTGGAAACCACCTGCTGATCAGCTGACGATTTGTTCAAAGCAGGCCGTTTTGATGTCAGCTCTCTTGGTCCAGTCGCCGAAGTATATACTGTCCTACTCGTTGCCTGCAGGAGAGGACGACTGCTCCGATGCGACTCCAATATATTTCTTCTTGCGCAGCCATGCGCATGGGCTCCGACGAACAAGGACTAGTGCCGGGAGGACGCCTGTCGCGGCTCGCTTTCAATAATACCTCGCATTATTTCTTCTTGCGCAGCAATGCGCAAAGTGTTGGACAAACGAGGACAACTGATTCCGAAAGGAAATACGACGCTGAAGACGATGAGCTACATGGCAAATGCGTGCAATCAAGTGAAATGCCCGAAAAATCCTTGCCGATTTTACTCGAACTGTACGTGAGTTCAAAAAATTGCCGCATCATGACGTATGTGGGCTCAAACGAAAGCTGAGGGCCTCAGCTACACGCTGCGCCACACGAGAAGGCCCTGCGCAGCTTCCGTGCAGCTACAGATCGATCTATGCATGCGCCTTTCCGTGGTGCCACGCATGTACGCGATTCAGCGTTAGCACTTTTTGACAGGTCGTGTCACGTGACTGAAGTGCCTAGTAGTACTAGTAGTCCATACGATAACATTTTTGTTAGAACTACACTCTCAAAATACCACTCATTGCATACACTATTATCTATACGGTTACCGGGTATACCTACTCCACTACAATGTAGTTGTTATGCAGGTCTACAAGCCAAACTCGACTGTGCCCGGCTGAGACCTAGCTAATGGCTGCCAAACTCTGTTGACCGTTCGAGTCCACGCTGCATGCAACATCTCGAGTCTCTCTTGGCTCTTGTCCTTGGCCACGGCATGCAGCAGTACAGGCACTGAGCGAGGTAGAGATCTACTCACAACCGCTACCTGAAATACTTTTTTGCTTTTCCCTAGCTAGCCCCAGGCCAGGGCCTACATGTAGCTATGGAACGCCTAGCGCCTGAAGACTGAAGTGAAGACAAGTGATCATGAAGTGAAGGAAGACAAAAATTATTATCGCGTGCGCACGTGAACATGGTAACATTTACGAAAAAGGCATCAATATCAATGTGTGCAAATGTTGTCAACCGCATACATGTACATGACTGTACATGTGCATTCATATCCGGTCCGGCATTCGACAGGATCTAGGATTGGAGAACGGACGGTGTCCATGTCAGATTGTGTGTACTAGTAATTATTTTACAGAGGTTAGGCCATGGTAAAAAATACCTTTGATTCTCAAGTACGCGCGCATCGATTTTGGGCGGCGCACCGACGATTTTTTTTATTTCTATGCATGCATATGCGTGCATGAAAACGGTCAATGCGAAAGGCATGAATCCGGGAGTAGTAAAATACCGGTATTTTTCTACTCCCTGGCCTGAATAATAAAATAATTATAAATTAATTATGAACCTGTGACGTACACATGTGTGACCCTATCTTTGGAAATAAAAAAATTGTGGGAATTAAAATAAAAAATCGCTCGCTCGCACCGATTTTCACAGGCTCATGACCTGAGAATCAACTTTATTTTTTACCATGGCCTTATTATGATCCTATAATGGGCCATGGTGCAAGACGGCTGCGAAACTCGGAACTCTTCAAACTTCTAAAAGAGGAGAGAGAGTCTGAGAGACTCATGTCATGTCCTGCAAGGGTCGGTCCTGGGTCCCCTGCTCTTTTGCATTTATATTCGCAAGGTGCCGGAAATTCTCAAGCACAGCATGTCACAAGTCTATGCTGATGACATTGCCTTCTTCATCATCGGACTGGACCTTCCTGCTATGTTACAGGATCTCCAGGACGATCTTACTGCCCTGGAGGTCCATTTAGATCTGAAGGGGCTCATCATGAACCCCGACAAGACGCAATTTCTAATCCTGCAGCGGTCACGCCTGCCAGCAGCGCAGTTGCCACAGCCCTTGACCTGTAAAGGAAAGGCTATTACCCCTACGAGCACTGCCAAATACCTTGGTTTATTGATAGACGAGCATCTCACCTTCCAGCCACAGGTCCATAAATTGTGTAACTCGGTTTTTGCTTAAGTTGCTGCTTTCCGACATGGCCGTAGAAATTTAACAAATGATGCAAAGCGAACATTCTACTTGTCTATTATTCAGTCTACCCTAGACTATGCCAGTAATGCTTACCTACATTGTTTAAGCACAACTCTGTACAATAGGATTGTGACCGTTAGTCACATAGCAATGAAGAGAGTGCTTGGACTCGATCGTACCACGCCCACTGAACTAGTTCTTCGCTTATATCACCTCTATTCTTTGGAACAGCGTATTAGCCTCAAGCTCTATGTTTTTGTGTACCGCTGCTTGGCCCAGCACCTTGCTAGTCCTCTTCTTCAGTCTTTGTACCAGCTTCGGGCAACTGCACCTGGTCACCAGGCATGCACCCGGGGCAAGGCACAAAGAGCCTTAGTTCTCCCACTCGTTTATACGCAGTATGGCATGCGCTCTATTTCTTTTCTGGCGGCAGGCAGGTGGAACTCTCTTCCAGCTGACTGTCGACAGGCCCACACTCTTGCTCTGTTCATTAATATGGTTAAACTTCACCTAGGGTTCCCAGTAAAAAGGCAGTAGCCTGTTGGGACTCCCCTAGAAAAATAATAAAAACTACTACTACTACTATGTTGCCTTTGTCACGACCTCTTCCAGCTGTCTGGCCGAATCTCTTGCAAGTAAATAGTTGCATGACATTCATTGTCTAGAATGATTTTGGCGCACAGATTAATATTTTATTATTTTTGTGTCGTGGCCTCAGTGGTCTGGGTTGGCATGTTGGCAACATGCAGCACATTCAGTCGATAACGTCTAAACGAGCAGCTTAGTGAACGCCGGTCACAGAGTTGGTCATGATTCTACAATGTACGTGTAGATCACTGCATCTTTTCAGCGCGTGATACAGGCAGCATAATTATTATGATTCTACGGGCCACGGCACAGTATTGCACTGTTTGGATGACGACTACACCATACCTCAGCGGTTAGACCATCGTCAGCCGTGGACATACCCGGGTCGAGTCGTAATGGTGACAATTAATACGTCTCTAATTAAAAGACCTTTCCCTTTTCGCTCCCTCAAACTTATGAACAGCAGCGAGGGCGAGAGTCCAATAATAAAGGTAAAACTGATTCGGTATTTAATTAAAAAGAACTCAGATGGTGAGCCAAGGAAAAAATTGCAGTATGGAAACTGTGGGCACAAGTTATGCGATCGAGTCCACCAACTAAACCAGATTTTGAACAGTCAGACGTGCACAATCTAGCACAAAACTCAGTCCTCCTAGTCAGTTTTGTGCTAGATTGTGCACGTCTGACTGTTCAAAATCTGGTTTAGTTGGTGGACTCGATGGCATAACTTACGTGTGCCCACAATTTCCAAATTACAAATTGATTCAGTACTGCAATCCGATTGGGAAATGTTTGGAGATTGCACATTTATCCAAGCATGAACCTGACAGAAATTGCAACAACGGAAGTGCAAGTCAACCGTTCTTCCGTGTAGGACTGTGCGGTGAACATGACACAGTACCGGCACCATATAGATCTACCAGAGATTTGGGCATTGAACGTGCACTCGCGTATTGGTGACCTGCCGGTATGACCGATAAACGTGTACGGTACTTGAGAGATTAGCAAAGGAAGCACATTCTATGGACCGCCGATTCGTCAGCACTGAGTGAGAAATGTCCCAGTAAAGTCGCTTCTCATCCACAGACCAATGCCACGAACATTGTATTTTAGGAGACAGAACAAATGATTTTTTTCAATTTGTGTATGCCTGTGGATGTATTTGCCTCTCTTCTCATCGTAAAATCTCAGTATCATTTCTTTGCTGATTTCCTCACAGCATGAACTCAGCGTTACAACCCACCGGAACGTCCTCCGCTGAGTCTGCTATGGGTTGTCAATGTTCTATAAATAATAATTATATGAATACAGGTACACGAAAATGCGATCATTTCCCCCTCGTCACCTTGTTAGGAAAGGGTGAAATCCTGGGAAATGCCTTGCCTTAGTTCAGAGCATATTGCAAAGCTAAGCACTTCAAACTGAGTCCTTCGGACATCATCCCATCCCATGGCTGAACCCTGGGTTGAGAAAGTGTACAACGGTGGCGTTCTTCCAAAGCCTAGGGCTTTCCCGGGATCGAGTCTCTCTAACTTGTACTTTGTTCTCCTCTGGGCTTTCAGCCGTATACGGTATAGACCATCTCGACGAAGTCTAGATTTCGGAATTCGAACGTGTTTTCAGGCACTGGTTAACACGGTATGAAGCACTTGTTCAGCAGGACAGGAAGGAGCACACTTCTACTGAACATGAACTTGCATGTACATGTACAGTGTACACGGACAAGCAATATCCTTTTCGTTGCTTTTCGGAAAACATGCATGATCTATACCGGTACAGTCATATGAAAGCAAATCCATTATTCCTATAACATCGCTTATCCCGCTTGCAGCTTTCCCTCGAGCCAATGAGTATCACTTACGCTTCTTTCTTTGTCTATTAGGATCGTTACCATCTCCGTTTTAGTAGTCCCAAATTGAAATTGTAAATTTCACTGCTATTGTTCTTAGTGTTATTTCTCTAACTTAGATTTTCTATAATAGTTCAGTTTTGTTTCAGTGTCCTTAAGTACAACGACGATTCCTGATGAGTGTTGTACGAAAACTTGTTTGAATCCTTATTTTTTCTCTACACTATTTTCTTCATACTCTCAATGTTTTACTGCACATTGTCTCCACCGTTTTACATTGCATGAATAAAGTGTACACAAATGTCGATTCAGCTTGCCTTATCGATTGCGGTTATCAAATTGAAATTGATTATACATTTAAACTTCAAAATACAAAATTGTCACTGAATTATAATTTTAGTTATGGTGTAAAAAACAGGTAACATGTATTTTCGCTGTTGGGATCAGAGGCTTGTGGGTCAGTACCACAGACACCACAATGTATGTGTTCTACGTATACATTTCTGACACGTCGGACGGGTTGGTGTGAACAGTTTGCCTCCAACATGTGCTTCAAAGAACGGAGGATTCAGCTCGGGCTTTGACTACCTTGATACACTGTAGTTGCTGTGTTGTGTGGTGGTTGCCTGACTTCCCTCAGTTGGGTTTACATCGTTTGTTTAGTGCAAAGTTTTCCTCGCGACCAGCATTCTCATCTCATCTTGTGTGATTATATTTACGCCCTCTAGACCGACCCCTGGATAAAGTGAGAGACGTGTTGCAGCTAGCCCTTTCTCGGATTATGTTTGAAATTTTGGCAGCTTCCGCTCGAAAGGCAGTGAATTTGGCAGAACCACACAAACCGTATGGCAGGCACTTCCTTGAATTCTGCTCCATTTCGTTATCCACACACCAAACATGCATGAAACATACCAGAAATAGGTACCAAATTCTGCAACTCTTTTCTGCCGGCATTATTCGCCAAGGGCTAGTTGCTGCTGTGACTGTGAGCACACTGGGAGTATCATTCGCAGCACAGTCTCACTCCGCTATCCACTTCAGTAGCTGGAGATACATGTACATGTACATGTACGTTGATTTTGTAGAAGAATAGTATATTAAACACTCGCTCTATGTTTAATCTACGCGCACTCTCGATAGTTCTTTTCATACTTCTTCGTGAATTATTCTACAGCCTATACATACATGATTGTACATGCATACTGTACGAATCGATTCTTTCAGAGTACTGCAAGCGTCGGACTCTTTAACATGAGGCCTGTAACGTTCATCTCGAGAATGATGACATTGATCATTAGAAAGGGGGCATTTTTCACCCACAACAATACACGTCCCAAGAACTCACCATTTTCCCGACTTTCCTGTGACGCTCTACCTGGCGTGGTATTGCCCTCCGATCTCATCAAGCAACACAACAGCAGCACCGCACCTGCTATCATTGTTGGAAGAACTGCACGTCGATCGGACGCCATTAAGAGCACACACATGTTGGCTGGTCAACACACAACAGGATGTTGCTGTATACGCTCATGAAGATTCGCCGAAAAGCTGGCTAGGTGGCCAGCGCTCCACACAACCAGCAACAGTCAGTGTCTGTTTGAACACACCAACACTACTACCAGCGCTGATGCTTGGGCCTTTGCGGCTCAAACGGGAACCAATGTCTTCTTCCTGTGTCCGTTTCTTCCAGGTCAGTTCGTTACTCGGCCTTTCTCTCTCTCTATCTGTCTCGCGTAAACGAGAATCTAGGGGCAGCACTACAAGCCAGAACAATGAGCACCCACGACACTAATAGTATAGCGATCAAGGGTTTAGTCTTCCGTGCGATGGCCTGTACGCAAGACTCGCCAGGAACACCAGTGGCAGTGTCGCTTGCTCTCCACAGTGCAGCAGCAGGTCATGTAGTTGCACACGTCGTCACATAGCTCATTCGCCAATGATCGACCACGGTCTGAGCGCAGTGAGTCGGTCGTGTTGGACTCTACAGTACCAGTGTTGATAGTGGAGACTGGGGTGGTATTGATGCAGGACGAAAAAGACACGCACGCGTGGGATCCAGCGCTGGCACACGCTCCAATGGACGCACCGACAGTGCACTGAAGAAATTTCTATAGCGGTGAAGAGCTCCTTTCCTGCATGCAGGCAGTCACGCCGTCACCAGTTCACACGCAGTATGAACAGCCACACGAGGAACAAGAACAAGAAATTCTCCCTCGGTGTGTCAGCAGCCTCCAGCTAGCTTGGTCGCAGTTTCCTTGGTGGCTGGGGAAGTTAGATTGAGAGCAGAGACAGAAAGAGGGAAGGGAAAGCCACGAACGCTATCACCTTTCTCTCAAGGGCTTTCATCCGCTGCAGTCGTCCCAGGTGGAGCGATGACAGGTCTACTTTCTTCACTGCTCTCACTCTGCTATAGACTAGTATAGTGTTAGATCAGCAAGAAGTACACACGATGATGCAAGGTTAGTAGGTAGAGTTAGTAATAGGCTAATGCTATGCACCGGCTTCGACAAGCACTTAATGCAAGGCAGTTTCACTTTCAGCTCCGGTGAATCTCTTGGGCAGCGCTATGATCACAGTGATCGGTAACAGCGCACTGCACTGGGTTCGATCTCATGATACTGCTGTGATATCCACAGATCGAAGAGCGGTACTCGGCTTCTGGTTCCCGCGGACGTGAACTGTGACCCCAGCCTTCCAGTCACTCTTGCTTATGCGATTGTGTTCGTCGTCTCCAATACCGAGTCGAATCTATGCAACAACTCTACTATTACGTGGTGCATGGCGTTTAGTGCTCCAATGGAGGTCATGTACTGAGTGTGTTAGATGGGCTGGGTACTACTGCTGTATACTGCTGTACTGGTCTGGAATGACTGAGCACAGCCCAGGGTAGCCATCAGCCAGTGTCGGTACGTGTTTCACCATACATGTACATGTACGCGTACACAATCACTGCCACTACAGAGTACATGGCTGGCAACTGAAATCCGACCCCCTGAGCGGTGGGTTCACTTTCTAGTGGTCTCTGTTTGGTAGTTTTACCATCCCGTGTTGGGTCTTTACGATGTGAGGGCACCGCTCAGGGGTCGGATTTCAGTTACCAGCACTGTAGTATCCGCTTTGCCGTGAGTAAAAATCACCATACTATCCATAGCCCTTGTATTGTTCTGTCTGAAGGAGACGATACCACCGTGACTGTCATTGGGCAGTGTTATACGTACAGCACTGCGTATACTGTAGAGGAGCACTGACCATGCTGACGGGCTCTCCATTACCTCCTCCACGGCTCACAGAACGCTGAACAACACGTCGAGAACCGTAGTCGGCGTTGCTCGATGGAGCGTGGAGCTTTGCGCCACACGCAGGTCGTGCCGTCCAGAGCTGCATGGCCAAATCCCCGGCAATGATCATGCACGGCAGGGCTACATGTACATGTACATGAATACTGCAATAGTCTCCTTGCCGACAATTGCAATGGAGTACAATCTTTACGCATACTACACCAGGGTCATGTGGATATTTATAATTTATCTTAGATTCTCTCCAAGTTATTTATTTATTTATTTGGTGCGCCTGAGAGCCTGTTGCCGGAATGGCGGTATTTTCAAGTGCAAAAAATACGCTGCAATGGAGTTTGGGAATTCTGAAGAAACTCTCTCTATTCTCTATTCTATTCTATTACGCAATTCACAGGAGTCTGTGTTAAAATTATATCAGAGCACCCAGTGACCTGCATCTACATCTACATGTACATTCATATTGTTAGATTGACAGCATGAAACAAGGTGTAGGGCACTGTGTTCGGAAACTGTGACCTTACTTACTACAACCTTCCGCGGTTGGCAGAGCCCCGGTACGGTGACGGTCCCTGCGGACCATTTGAACCATAATTATGGAAGTTGAACCCGGTTCTGACCCTCATTATGCTAGGGGGTTTGGAGACTACTCCATACGTCCGTCGTGTATTCTTTGATCGCTCCTGGATGTCGTCCTGGTAGTCTTGTAGCTTGTATTATAAATTTCTTTTCTTCCAACTTCTGCCCATGGGGTCCTTCTCTCAGCTCTTCAGCTGTCAACAGAATACACGACGGACGTACGGAGTAGTCTCCAAACCCCCTAGCATAATGAGGGTCAGAACCGGGTTCAACACCCATATGGTTCAAATGGTCCGCAGGGACCGGGGCTCTGCCAACCGCGGAAGGTTGTAGTAAGGTCACTGTTTCCGAACACAGTGTCCTCCACCTTGTTTCATGCTGTCAATCTAACAACATGCGTGAACTATAACAAGGTTTATCTAATACCGGTTTTGAACCAGTGTAAATAGGTTAAATAGGTACATTCATGTATATGTACGTGTACATGAATGTATACATTGTACATGTACTACTCAATCTTCGGACGCTAGCTAGCTGGCTTCTCCCTTATTAGGCAAGATCAGCGGAGCTCGGAAGGCCTGGATGAGTCGATCACAATGACATCTAGTGACCCACTAAAATTTATGAACCGGTTTAGTAGATGCGTCCAAGTTCAATGTGCGTGGACTACTACTAGTACTAGTACTAATATATCCTCTCATGAATGTGCACGTGATGTCTCTTGACACTTTGACGAGAAAAGGGCACATGAATAATCATCGTGATGCCATAGTACGTGCTAGTGTTACCGAGATAGGCGCAAATGAGAATAATTGTGTTATTTTTTTGCGGTGAAGTGAAAATAATACAAGTGTCAGTCCACGAAATCCACTTGTTGACATTTTCTGGTGCGGCTGGACGTTTTAACTTCTAAGTATACTTCGCAGTAGTACTTACAGGATGAGTAACGAGAATGCCTTTTTTCTGTTTCTGTTGTTCTGCCTTGTGTCCTTACATGTATTCCTAACTCGGACGGAGTTGTGGTTGCTCGTGACAGTGCTCACCAAGGTGCAGAGCCCAACATACAGCCCAAGTAAAGACGATGCAACTGCAGATACAAAACGCAGTGTCTGATGGACGGCAACTGCCAAATCAGCTCTATTGTCTACAAGGCAACCGTCCAAGTAACCAGAGAAGACAGACAGAAGGAGTATATCGGTCTTACGGAGCCAGCATTCATGAAGAGACACGGCAACCATTTACATGTATCATCATTCAGACATGAGAGACATGAGGAAAGCACGGAACTATCAAAGTGTGTCTGGAACCTGAAGCGTCAAAATAGCGAGTACAGTACAGGTTTGTCAGTTATCACCCAGACCCCAGGTTACAGTAACTTAACTAAGCGCTGCCCTCTGTGCCTAAGAGAGAAACTAGAGATCCTTCAGGCGGACAAGCATGGCAACATCAACAAATGATCAGAGCTAGTCAGCAAGTGCAGGCATGAAAATAAGCACTACCTCTCAAAATTCACACCATCAGCCGTCACATTACCTGTTCACTACTCCCAGTCGCAGGTGAGGTGCTGCTCATACAGGCATAGTTTTTATTTTACATGTCAACAACAAATAACTCCAAAGCACGAAAAAGGCCAAAACTAAACCAAGAACATGTGCAATAACATGTTATTTAGAAAGACAGGACAAGTGAACAGGCATAGTTACCTTGCCTCTTTCACAAGAACATGTGGTTGCATGAGCCCAGGCCTAAAGTGTATTCTTTTGTTACGCCTATTTTTGCACCCCATCACCTAACTCATGCAATCATTTTCATAATTACACTAGCAGCCCGGATCATCCAATCGCGCTATGATCCAAGCTTGCAGCCTATATCAATTACATATTCTGAAAATTGTAGTCAAGTTGCTGTCTGATGATCGGTTAAAACCGTGAAACTCAGAGTTACAGCAGAAACGCTTTTCATTCCTCTCAAGTGTGTGTACCTATACATGTATTCCTATATGTTCTGTGCCCTAGTATCGCATTTTCTGACTGTGTATCACCTTGTTACAGTCGTAGATAGTTGCTGCACGACTCGTTCTCATGTGCCTCTTCTTCTTTTGTTTAACAATTATTCCTTCATTTTCACAAAACTCACTTCAAATATTTTCTCATTTCAGAAAGCACGGCTTCATGACTGAGACTGACTTTATAACCGAGTGTACCGCCTTAAAGGTGGGGACATACGGGTTTGTACGTTGATGCCGAATATCGATACGAGTTTAGTGCCAGTGTTGAGTTATGTGCACTGGCGATTTGTAATCTTTTCTGCCAGGCACAGATCACTGTTCTGTCAGGCACAGATCACTGTTCTGTCAGGCACAGATCACTGTTCTGTCAGGCACAGATCACTGTTCTGTCAGGCACAGATCACTGTTCTGTCAGGCAAAGATCACTGTTCCAGCTCAAGGGGGCGTTCAACCACGGGCATGTCCGGTGGCTAGTCGGGCATAAGATGGTGCGGGCTCTGTTTTAACCTTCAGTTTCCAGATCTTCTTGCATGGAGAGTTGGGTGCAAGTTTCGCACATTGTGTTTCGGAAAGACTCCGAAATGTCCGAAATGCTGGTTAGTCGCCAGTCAGGGAGATATTGCGGTTGTTCAATCATACATGTATCCCTGGGTAAGTCTTTCGCCATGAGGCATTTTACACATTATAGATGTAATACTCCAGCCTAGTCTCACGTGAAGTCGTGAACCGTCAATTGAACGATGAACTCGTCGGCCGAGCATGTATCGTCAAGTTGGCATGATGGATTATCGCCTTCAATCTGCTTTGGTGTGTTCTTATTGGCCTTTAAAAAGTTGGCTCATTGCTGGCTTGATACTGGCTGCAGGCTCCAGCCTTCAGATGCATCAGTTAGGGCCCGGTGCCACTTCCGATGCTCCATGGCATTTATTCTCAAAGCTGCGGCTTGCACCGTACCAGCACGGTTCCACTGATATTAGCGGCACAGCAATAATCCGATCTCCATCTTGACTTCTCTCCTCTCCCCATAAACTCTCATGTTGCTCAAGCTCGCGGTAGCGTCCTGACCACATTTCGGCGTTGTTGGCTCGCCTCACCAGTCACGGGCACAGGTTCCTCCTCGGACCCCTACTCTTTCCATTTTTTGTGTTTCCAAGATACGATAATCATTTCGGGTTTTAACTCAAAGATCGACTTCTTTCGCTCCACATACACCGACATACCTACAAAGACACAGACACCGGAGGCAGGAGCTTGTGACCTAGGATGAGTAAATTATTAAAAGTAAATTATCGTATCCGTTCCCGAAGAGAACTCACGACGGCCGCTAACCCCCGATAAACCCTAGCGGCAGATGCAGCGCCTAACGGTGGGGGTGAGTGGGTAAGCCTCACAACCACTGGCACAAGTGCCGAAAACGACCCCATTAGCTGCATCCTAGGATGAGTGCAATATGAAAAATCGGAACCAAAATTTCGATCTTTGATCATGACGTGCGGCTATTCGGTCGCTCCTACAGATGTAACAGATCCCTAGACACGCCTTGAAAGCCCTATAAAACCCCTCTCCGCAGGTGTATCCGAGGCAATGTATGGAGCATAGTCTGAATGCAACTTTATCCTGCTAGGTAAATAATGTTGGCCTCTCATGTCATGTAGGGAGCAGAATACTCTGGGGAGAGCTGATCATACACCATGTTCAGGACAATGTCATGTGCTCTAAGCGTACTGTCGGGGGATTCTTTGGGCAAAGAAATGGCAAAAATATAGATCACCCCAGGCTCTCACACGAAGAAGAAAAATAGCGATAATCATAGACAGCACGAGGCCATAAACAAGAGTCTGTGTTCCCTTTTATATGGGTCAGATTCGCGATGCCCAACTTCACTCCATCATGCAGTCAGCGCGGTGCTGAAAATACTCCGCTGCCCTCTGATTTGAAATTAAGTGTTGTCCGGCACAGAAGTTCATGCACCCAACGGGTATTGGGAATTGAGCAAAAATGGATACGATGCAAATGCTTGTACGTAAGATTGTGGATTTGAGTGCACGAGTGGAGGGCATGATGCAGGCAAATTACGTGTTGAGGCAACATGCTGAGCACTGACCCATCACAACAATAAGATACTGTTGTCTTTCGACTCTTGTTGATACAGTAGTATTTCATAGTTTTGAAGTGAAACTGCAGGCTACAGGCTGAAATACCGGTAAAAGTGTTCAAAACAGTTTCTCGTTACGGTCATGAGTGAACGTACGTAGCAATGGGTGTAATACTCAGTGAACAATCTAATAATGGATTCGAAAGCGGCGCGAAACTAAAAAGACAATAACACTAAATTGAGCAATACAGCGATAAGCATGAAAGTGGCATGCACAAACACACACCAGGCCAGGGGATAAGGAACATAGCTTCCTTTTACATGTATACCCCACAACTAAGAAACAAGAGTACATGAATTTACTCTTTGTAAAGATAAAAAAGGGATTCTATCTCACAAAGACCGCAGCTTCATCAAAACCAACATTTGAATAGCGGGCATTTGTACAAATGCGTATCTGTACTTGATCAGAGGTACTAGTGTTCAGTTGACGATGAAACCATGGCATATCTGTGTTGTCACAACATGTACCACCAGCAGTACATTGACTGGTGTTGCTCCATGCATGTGCAGCTGGAGTGAATGTCCAAGGTCTCCGATTGGATCCATGGTCCGCGCAATAGTAATGACTACCAACAAATGATGGAGGTGGTGCACCGGCTCTGGGACTACATGGACAGTTATAGATTGGTGGAAAGTCATCGACACTAGCTGTGTAGGTCCATATATGATGCATGGGAGAACCATGTGTGATAGAGATACCGTCCATGTACCTGCTCCTCAACTGTGTTCTGCCATAACGTGAGGGATAGAATGCGCGCAATAATTCATTCTGAGATCAACATAAACAGAGAGTACATGATGCACAACATTTCTTAATTCCCGTAGCTATGCAAAAGACGTTACATGTGCTTCAGTAACGTCTGGAGGCTAGGTAGGGGCCACAAAGCTAGAAAAAAAATGTACTGCGGCGTGTAATAAAAGGCAGCTGGCTACCTTATTCAAATTAATAGGTACGGCTTTCGACAGCAAGTTCATAACGTGAAGCAACTTGGAAGAATGTGCATGTATGCGAAGTAGGCCTGGGCGGATAATGCTAGCATTATAAGTAGCATTATAGTGTGCAATTTGCAACGAGCATTATGCTAGCATTATAACGCTATATTTCCACAAAAGTGGCATTATATTCCAAAATGGAAGTTTTGGCCACTACAAGTCAAATGTGAGGTGGGAGCAGCTGATGTTTGTACAGTCATGTAGCACAAACTGCATAGGATTGTCCAAACTCAGCCATTTTCCAGGCATACTATTGCGGTTTTGCTGATCAGCATTATGATCATTCTTTTCTAGCATTTTCCATGCCGTCTACGAGGAACTACGAAACGTGCACAATACTGCCCAAACCAAGCCATTTTTCCATACTTACTACTGGTGAATTGCTGGCATTACAGAGGAACAGCAGCATTTTAAGTAGCATTATGATTTGGGGTGAAAGTTGGCACTGAGATCCCGAGTTCGAGTACTCCAATTTTCTTAAGTAGCATTATGAATTTATGATACATTTTTTTTGGCATTGCCATTAGCATTATCCCGCAAAATAACTAGCATTATCCGCCCAGGCCTAATGCGAAGTGTATTTGGGGGGATGCATGCAGGGCAATAGTGCGGGTTCGAATCCCATGTTATGTTTCGAAAAATTGGAGAAATGGAAAATTTATAACTTCGCTAAGCGTTTTTGCTTAAGGCGGCAGCCTACCCATAAATTTCATATGGCATTCAATTGACCGTAAAATAATCTACGTGGAGATAAAAGTTTAATAATAGCAATGAAAAGTATGAATGCCAAGCTGTTTGTATTCGTACGGTCCTTGAAGCTGTTTGTATTCGTACGCATAAGCCCGATTTGTGTAAGCAAAAAGAACATGTTTTAGCACTTAGGTTGTTTTCGTGAGTTTGCACCCCGTGTTCATGAGTTGTTTCTGCACTGTTCATGCCCGTTTGTCACACTTACTCTTTATTTTAGTTCTCACTTTTTGTAATACTTACCACAAGTTACCCGTCGTGTGTCACACTTCTTTGGATTTTTAACCTTTGTTTTCCCTTGCTCTCTTTAGTTCCGTATTTCCACTGATGATCGGAACGTGAAAATCGATTTTGGAAACACACAAAACCAAACCTTGAACAAATTGTCATGTTGCGTGGTGATGTCTGCGGCATTCATACTTTTCATTGCTATAATTGACCGTAACTTTGGTGTTTCTCAGTGGATTTGAGTGAAATTTTGACCACACACTCCTGCCACTATGCTGGCCCTCAGGACATGATTTACAAGTTCTTGCGCCTCACTGACAGGCTTTCCAGGCCGGAAAAACTCAAATTTCCGGCATAGTGCTACGGTGTGCGAGCCACCCAGGAGCCAAACAAATGCATTTACATTTTTTCACATTTTCGTGCCCATTCTGTCCGTGCGCGGGACCCAAACCTAAAACAAGTCCAGAAGCAGCCATGGGTGGTGGGGTAGGGCCCCTCAACGTGGCCCTGGAATCTGTCACAACGGAACGAGTGGGCGTTCTCTCACGGACTCCCACAGACCCAAGTCAATTTTTGAATTTTATTAGGTTAAGCACGTGCTACGAGGTCGTACCTTTGATACAACATCCAGTGCTGGGACCTCCACAGCAAGCCATTTCCACAGCGCTGCACACCCAGTCCAGGATGCCCTCAGAAACCGGCAAAGACTGCCACTCACGTTTCACTACTGCCTAGTACTGAATCCTACCTGACTTCTTGACACGACTCAAACTTGCCAAAGTCACTAAATCAACGTCAACTACAATAATCAAGCCACATATCTGCAACGTCACGAGGGTGCTGGAAAAAGTCCTGCACATGTTCGGCCATAACTCTTGAACGGCCGGTCAGATAGGGACACAATTTTCAGAGAATTTGCAGCTATTCATGCTCTTTCAACTGACGTAGCACTCAATATGAATTTACAAATTCGATTTTTCAGCAAATTTTTGGGTAGTCTGCCACCTTTTAGGGGGCAGCCTACCCATAAATTTCATATGGCATTCAATTGACCGTAACTTTGGTGTTTCTAAAATGGATTTGAGTGAAATTTTGACCACACACTCCTGCCACTATGCTGGCCCTCAGGACATGATTTACAAGTTCTTGCGCCTCACTGATAGGCTTTCCAGGCCGGAAAAACTCAAATTTCCGGCATAGTGCCACGGTGTGCGAGCCACCCAGGAGCCAAACAAATGCATTTACAATTGTTTCACATTTTCGTGCTCATCCTGTTCGTGCGCGGGACTCAAACCTAGAACAAGTCCAGAAGCAGCCATGGGTGATGGGGTAGGGCCCCTCAACGAGGCCCTGGAATCTGTCACAACGGAACGAGTGGGCGTTCTCTCACACACTCCCACAGACCCAAGTCAATTTTTGAATTTGATTAGGTTTAGCACGTGCTACGAGGTCGTACCTTTGATACAACATCCAGTGCTGGGACCTCCACAGCAAGCCATTTCCACAGCGCTGCACACCAAATCCAGGATACCCTCAGAAACCGGCAAAGACTACCACTCACGTTTCACTACTGCCTAGTACTGAATCCTACCTGACTTCTTGACACGACTCAAACTTGCCAAAGTCACTAAATCAACGTCAACTACAACAATCAAGCCACATATCTGCAACGTCACGAGGGTGCTGGCAAAAGTCCTGCCGCTGTGCAGCCCAATACGTGGCTCAAAAACCTGATTTTTGGACTTGGAACAAAATTCTGCACACTTTCACGTGTTTCCATGATACGACAAGTTGCGCACGGTCTGCTCACATTCAAATACAGTGCTGCCAACAAATGACAGCGTGCAACAAAAAAATCTTTTCTTGCAAGGGCACATTTTCGGCCAGCTATTCATGCTCTTTCAACTGACGTAGCACTCAATATGAATTTACAAATTCGATTTTTCAGCGAATTTTTGGGTAGTCAAAAAGTCGGGTAAGTCCAAAAAAGTCGAAAAAATCACGTTAAAAAACCACGTATTGGGCTGCACGGCGGCGGGCGAAGCCCGCCGCCGTGCAGCAGGACTTTTGCCAGCACCCTCGTGACGTTGCAGATATGTGGCTTGATTATTGTAGTTGACGTTGATTTAGTGACTTTGGCCAGTTTGAGTCGTGTCAAGAAGTCAGGTAGTATTCAGTACTAGGCAGTAGTGAAACGTGAGTGGCAGTCTTTGCCTGTTTCTGAGGGCATCCTGGATTTGGTGTGCAGGGCTGTGGAAATGTCTTGCTGTGGCGGTCCCAGCACTGGATGTTGTATCAAAGGTACGACCTCGTAGCACGTCCTAAACCTAAAAAAATTTAAAAAATTGACTTGGGTCTGTGGGAGTCCTTGAGAGAACGCCCACTCGTTCCGTTGTGACAGATTCCAGAGCCACGTTGAGGGGCCCTACCCCACCACCCATGGCTGCTTCTGGACTTGTTTTAGGTTTGGGTCCCGCGCACGGACAGAATGGGCACGAAAATGTGAAAAAAATGTAAATGCATTTGTTTGGCTCCTGGGTGGCTCGCACACCGTAGCACTATGCCGGAAATTTGAGTTTTTCCGGCCTGGAAAGCCTGTCAGTGAGGCGCAAGAACTTGTAAATCATGTCCTGAGGGCCAGCATAGTGGCAGGAGTGTGTGGTCAAAATTTCACTCAAATCCACTGAGAAACACCAAAGTTACGGTCAATTGAATGCCATATGAAATTTATGGGTAGGCTGCCCCCTTAAGTCGCACCAATCCCTTCTTTTAAAATTCAACCATCTGAGTTCTTAAAGCTATTATTCATTTTCTGCTGCCCCGGTTATCTCTTTTATTAGTATTATTATTTTCTTTGCCTTCGCTTTCTTGTTATTGGGCAACTTGCCCGTTAGAATCTGCGAAGTAAAATAAACAACAACAACAACAACAACAACAACAACAACAACAACAACAACAACAACAACAACAACAACAACATTGCATGGAAAAATCGGTAAACCGTAGTTGACCCATCAATGACCAAGAGCAAGATGATCATCATTTTCTGAATGGACAGTTGTATGTTGATATACCCCACCAGGACACCTGGTTACCTGGGTGCAAGTAGTCCAGTCAGTGTAGAATGCAAAGCAGTTTGTATTTTTTTCCGTAAGGGGGAACACGGCCCCCTATTGTGTGAAAATTCGTGCACTGTCGTGTGTACATGTATACTTGTTTTGATCAAGTACAGTCATGTACAGTCAAGTACAGTCAAGTACAGTCTTGTACATACTTCTGAAGCACACGCTTCACAACGTCTATAGGGCTTGAAAGTGATGACGTCAAAAACGGCCAGGGAGTACTAAGTTGACATCAGATTTCTATTTTGGATCCACTAAGGTGTGACTTTGCTATTGCCTCAGTATGTGGGTGCATAACAACCCACTCATGTCGTATGCAGGGGTGACTTTTACTTCGCCACCAGTTGTAACCCGCCCCCAGTAGCCAAATCAGTCAGTTTCACTGGTTACATCACCTTGCTGTGAGTAAGGCGGCTTGAAATGTGCTTGGATCCATACAAAAACTGGATCCAAGTGGATCCAATTTTTGAATTTTTGAAATTTTTGCTATGCTGTGACGTAGCACTTTCAAGCCCTATTGGGAGACGATAGTGACTGGCTACACTGCTGAGCTACAATCACGTGACTAACTGTTATTTAGAAGGCTGTTGATTTGTGCTTCGAATGTGTAGGAGCTACATTTCTACATGCAGGCGTTAGGTAGTTGAATGTCTCAGTAATCTGTTAGTTTCATGGGCTA